AATGAGACATGACATTAAGCTGAGCGTAAGGAGTCGCCAGATTCTATGTTGCGCAATAATAAATTGCAACATAGAATCTGGTGTCGATCTGCTTAATCTCATTTATACACTGAAAAAAAATCTTAATTTCAAAGAAATATCTTTTTATTCATATTCAAAAAAATTATTTCTTTGGCTCAATGAAAATTTCTTTGAAAATAAGATATTGTACTTTCAAAGAAATAAGATATTGTATTTTCAAAGAAATTTTCATTGATCCAAAGAAATAATTTTTTTGAATACGAGTAAAGAGATATTTTTTAAAATTAAGATTTTTTTTCAGTGTATTTATCATTGTATTAATTAAAAGAGTCTTTAATTTTATTTATTTTTATTTATTACTTGTAATTGTTATTTTTATAAAAGTTAAAAAAAACTGTCATATAATTATCGTGTTTCCTTTCTGACAGCAAGAAATATAGAATTTATATTAAAAAACAATAATAAGTTAGAAACAAAATCGTCATATAAATGAACTCACTAAATGAGAAAAGTGCCATATATAATAAAAATATATAATAAAAATTGAGAGAAATGCAATTCATAAGTGAATCAGTTTCTGTCGTTTATCGCGATCGACAATGTATAATAATAAAAAAACCTATATAATATAAAATAATAAAAAAAATCACAGTAACCTGAGTATGATATTCCTTAGAAAAGTCTTTATTGATACTCACCAAAACCTTCATGTTGAATGAAATTATTCAGCTCCTTAGCGCTGCCGATCAAGATCAGTACTCGCCAAGGTACTCGGCTAATATGTCGTGTACTACCCCGTACACGCGGCTATATATACCCCGTGAGTAAAAGAGGCTTTGTGCCGAATCAGGCACTACTACCAGAATGCTATCACAACGTAAACATCAGTGTCCAATAAAAACCGTCATGTATTTGACATTGACGTCCATTTTCACTCCCGTTCACATAATTACGAGTTGTCGGCTTGTTGATCCTCTCGTCTAAATTGGTTCGCCTACCGACTCGATTAATCAAAACTTAAAAAACGATTGAATGATTCGTAGCGTTCGCCTTCTTTTTATCTTTTTATCGTCACATCGTGATAACTGATTTTCCTTCCGTTTTATGTCCGTTTCTATCAACCTTTAAGTTTAATTTTAATCTTAATCCAACTCATGTTTTCCAAATTCTAAGAGTTAAAGAAGGATGAAGATCAAGTTAAACCGAGATTAAAGTTAATTTATACATTAGTAGAAACGGACATTATTTTTGGATTTAATTGTTAACTGACGCAGATATTTAATCCTTCTTTAGGAGAACCGCGTGTTGTTTTGATGAAGGAAACATTTTTTGTTTTGATTTTACACATTATGACAGTTTTATATACTTATGTGATTAATTAAATTAATTAAATTAATTTTGTTATGTATAGATAAATTTTTTTAGTTTTAAAAATAAAATTAATATTCTTATTTTAATTTCAGCTCTTAATCTTAGTATATACAATGGGTCATTCGTTCCTTATTCGTTTCTTTTCTTTAAAATACTAAGAACTCTTCGCAAAATAATGGTCTTCATCCTTATCTTTCTTTTTTAATACGCAACTTTACAAATATTTTCGAACAAAGTTAAAGTATATTTGTAAGAATTATGTAATTTTTAGTGTACACTATTCATATCTTGCTCATTTCTTTTTTTTTTGTCATATTAAGAGCATTTAACTAAATAATAATGAATTTCCTTCTTCCTAAGACTTTCAGATTTTAAGACATTTAAAGATATAAGAATCTCTCTCAAAATCTATAATCACTGGATTAATTAAAAGATAGATCGCAGAATGAATATGAATCAACAAATCTGTTTTTGTTGAAATAATTAAGGATCAAGTAATATGACAAGCAGGTAGGCAGGCATTCTTACCTAATCAAGCAGAAACGACAATAAGCCCGTTCTAGAATCTGATTACGCGATCGACGCCTGTCATCGTCGCAGGCGCGACCTTCTAGATCACGGTCGATCTGGCAGAGAAATGGAAACAGGATCGGGTGTCTTCGTGAGAAAGAAACGGAAAGAAAATCCCTCTCCGTTTCATCTCGTCCTTCACTATTGCGTTCCTCATCTCTTCTTATCCAACATAAACTCTCGTTTTACAAATAGGCTTATCTTACCGAGCGAAACGGAAGTAGTTGACCACATACAGCTTTTCAAATCGAGATCTCTCCCTTTGCGTCCTCCTACGCGATTGTCCTATTACATGATCTAGGAGGACTATAAAGACAACCACGACAATTGCGCCGATACGAGTCGTCGAGTGCATTCCGTGACGTTACTCTATTTGTCGTTTGCGTAAAACTACCATTTCAGCGTAACTGAGTAAAGCGAGAGATGACACTATTCGCGATCGTACTACTCGGTTTGACCAGCCTGGTCTTAGCCAAACCCACTTTTCTGTCTGTACCCTTGACGTACGCGACACCCCTGACCGCCCTGACATCTGATATGCAAGTTGGTATCAATAGCAGAGCGTTGGACGGATCGGAAGCCACGCACATTGACGAGAGGACAGAATTGGCGAACGGGATTGCCAGATCAGCTATTGGATCCTTACGAGAACGGCAATCGTTTTTTCGTGATAATGCGCCATCGATATTAACATCTTTCGCGCCTCTTGGCACCGACGGCAGAGTCGTGGATACGCCGGAAGTCGCAGCTGCAAAGATGGCTCATGCGGCAGCGCATATCCACGAGAGAATCAACCTGGCGAACGAGATTGCAAGGTCCAACGGTGGTGCACTGGATTTGTCTGACGTCGTCGATAGACATCCCGACAGCAAAATTCTGAATGCACCGGAAGTCGCGACCGCGCCTGCCAACGGGAAGATCTTTCCGATGAACGAGGCTGCGAGATCCGGCGATGCTCTCCCAAGTGCCGTGAATGGTCGTGTAGTGCCATTGGTGCTTGGCAACAACGTCATCGCTACTCTAGTACCCAGTCCCAATGGCAGGTCGTTGGACGTACCGGAAGTGATTGCGCGTGGAGATCAGAATTTGGTGAACGACGTGAAATCTGTTGATGCTTTGGCGATCGCTGGAAGGGCGCTTGCTTATGGCAGATTAGTTTACTAAGGAAGGTTTTGTTGCTTAAAGGAAATACAGCTTACACTGAGAAAAAATATTTCAAAATTTATTTGTAGGATACAATGTTTATCATTTATTTTATTGAAATAAATCCTTATTCAACTAAGACGAAATAAAATTTTATTCCTAGAAAACTTTATCTATTTACTTTTTTACAATTAATACGGAAATAACACATATTTCACAGAAATGTATATTTTGCTATCATAGTCCAATTTTGTTACAAATATTCGAAGGAAATATCACAAATAACATTTGCATTTACATATATTGCTCTTTTTTCAGTGTATTTATGCGTAACTTTATATGGAATAATCACGGAATTTCGGATAATAATAGTAAACTACACAGAAAGAACAGTTTTGTTGAAGTATTTTAAAAATTTAGCTATATAGATTTGAAAATAATTTTGTTAGATCATTAAAATAATTATAGATTTTCAAAATAATAGAATGTGTTGATAGAATGTTTTATATATATTGAGAAAAAATATACTAAATTTTAATAAATATTTATTTCAATAGTACTAACTAATTACACAGTAAATATTTACTCAATAAAAGAAATAAATATAGTTAAATCAAATTAATATTTTTGTACCATTAAACATATTTTTATATTTAATAGGTAGTTTTATGTTTAATAGGTACTATTAAAATATTTATTGAAGTTTACCATATTTTTTTCAGTGATATTATAGAACGACAAGATGACAGAATATTTTTTGCAACACACATACATACACACACACACACACACACACACACACACACACACACACATTGTCTCTACATAATTATTTTAATAATTCAATATTTATACAATTCAAATTATTCAATATTTATACAATTCAAATTATTTTTAGATTTATGTCTAGCTAAATTAAAAAAAAACTGTTCTTTCCGTGTACTCGTAGATCTATTGGAGATTATGAATAAGGAATTCTTTCTAATAAAAAATGAAAAAAAATTGATAGGATAGGAATAGAATAATATATAACATCTGTTTTGCGTGACAATTATTATTATCACTCCAAACTTATATCTAT